CTTCTCAGTGCAATTAATATTCCTCTGGTACTATCGTGCTCACCTCAACAGCAGAGCTCATGTCAAACACTCCTCTATTTTGTATGATAAGGGAGATTGATTTACAAAGCACATTATATTTGACAAGTTGTCCCTCCCCTGTGCAAACTGGTCTAGTCTCCTCTCACTACTCATGTTATGTTCGACTTCCAGAGAGTGAGGTTAGAAATAATCACTAAGTTACGTACAAAATAGTTACACTAACAACTGATTAGTAACATTACATTTACATAGTCTTTTCAGTGGAGCTTTATGGTGTTTTACCAGACACAGGATCATTTCCTCTTCATTATGGAAGGATTTTAAAGTAAGATTCCTGAAAACATGCAAACTATCTTAACAATAAATAGCTTACTGAGACAGGTTCCCTTTTCAAATCATAAAATAGCAAGTTTTGTATTGCTAGATATACTTTTGCCAGCTTAAGACTTATGAAAAGCACTGCTGCTCTACCAATTTGCAGAAATTTCAGAGTCTAAAAATGCCAGAAGAATTGGAGAAAGCATCTCAAATGAGGGGAGCTGCAAAAATTTCATCATTATTGCAGGAACTGTTTTCAGTCTCTGGTTTTGGCAGAAGTGAAACAGGCTATAAATGTTGAGATTTCATCTGCCTTGGGAATAGCAGCAGGCTCTCCCAAGGCTTTTATGAAGTGCCCCCAAAATCTTCAGCCCAGTTGCACAAAAGGGACAAGTACAGCAGTGCTGGCCACTGCCTTACCTGAGCTTTCACACCAGCTGCAATTCATGAAGCCAAGTTACCCAAGTGAGTAAGGAAAAGGCAGAGCATGAGCACACCTCACCTTACATTACACAATGTGTAGTTGGCATCTCTTCAAGCTAAAACAATGTATCTCTGACAGTGCAGAGCTGTGCTTTGGTTAATCAGCCCCATGAAAATGCAGCATGATGGTACATTATTTGCTTGGGTTGGGCCCTCCAGCATTCTGGCATCTTCAGGCCACCACCACTGATGTGCTGTGTCCAACAGGGAAGGCAGATTGCACAAGTTTGGCCCACAACAAGGACCAGCCCAGGGCTCCAGCTTGCTGCTGCACTAGGCTGGAGTCACACCCTTTCCCTCTCCCAGGGTCTTGGGAAGCTTGTGCTTTTTGGAAGCCAAGTTGAGAATGAGTATGAACACAACCCACGCTCCACCAGTCAGAGCATAGTCCTTGCAGATGAGAGGTGGAGGTCTGAATCCTCCCTCATCTGTACTGAGGACTCCTAAACCCCAGAGAAGTGCTCTAAGCTGGTCATTATTGCCTTTGCCAATACCATTTCCAGAAAAGCTGAGCTAGAGCTTTGGAGGGTTTTTTTTTTGTCCAGGAAGGCTAGACATCAGCTCAAGATACATGGTACATCATGTAAGCATCTCTGGGTATATGCAAAACCTTTCTTACACCTCCTAGTAAACTTTCCCTAGTTTTATAAGAAGTCTCTCTGTTTTAAGTCAGACCTAGAAAAACTTCTGAACAAATCTGTCAGTACAAGGCAAGTGAGAACTTGCTCTGGTAAACAGACAGCTCTGCAGCAAAGCCTGGACTCACATTTTTTCTGCAGCTTCTCTGGGTGTCCAGGGAAAACATTCCAGAAGATTCCTCACCCATTGCCATATACAAACGACAGTCCTCATCAAAGGGACTCCACAAGGGAGAGGGACATGTGCAGACCTCCCAGAACATCCTGTTAGCATCTGCGAGTCCAGGATCTTAAACTGAAAGAAAGGAGGCTTAGGGGAAAGAATACAGGGTGGGAGAAGCCCACTGTAAGTTCCACTGCCACAGCAGCCTTAGTGCTCAACAGCCTCAGCACTCTTTAGGAGCTGGAGCTGCAGCATCAGAGTCCCTTGACCAGAGTAGAACATCCAGCAACAAATGGCTACTATGGCCCACAGCTGGTATGTGGGATGGCTCAGATATAACACAGCAGCTACTTACTCTCTTATCAGGGTCTTCATCTACTACAACTCTTTGTCCTGCTTCAAGATGATTGAACCAAAGGTGACATTAGGGTGCCAGGTCAATAAGAAGAGATTAAAACCAGTGCAGGGAAACTACTCCTCTTCTCTTCTCTAGCTCTGCTACTGCAGCAGTTGTTTGACCCTCACCTCAGGAGAGATTATACCAAAGGTGTTCTGAGACAGTTAGTGATTGGACTCTGACTCAGCTTCACAGTATTTTCTTTGAATCATAGAATGGTTTGGGTTGGAAGGGACTTTAGAGATCATACATTCACTCTAACAGTCACCTGGTTTATTTACTCTTAGCTGCTGTTACCACCACCTCCTCTTCCTTGAGCTGCTAAAGTTAACATTGCAGAAGGTTGAACATCTTTGAATGAGAACTAATACTTGATGTAAGCCATAGGATGCACATGTGCTTAGAAAGCACCCTATAGTGCTGATATCAGCAAAACTGCTCTGCGTAAGCAGGCACAGACAGCAACAAGAAGAAAAGCAGAACACTTACCTCAGTGAGGTGCAAACCCAGAAAGATAGTCTATTCTTTTGTCTTTGAAATGCAAAAGCAACAAGCACGTTTTTATTTCTTGTTTAGATACACCCAGGTTTTGAAATGGAAGGACTAAAACCACTACTAGCCTTAGCACATCAATCTAGCTGCCCCAGTTCAGTAGTTGCCTTCCCAATCTGAACCATCAGACAGCACCAAGGCAGTGTTCATGTCCATTAAAAAACAGGTTTTAGTTATACATAAAGTCCTTTATAAATGAATTGTTCTGGTGGCAACAACTGCAAGACAAAGCTTTTTCTACAAACATGCATTCGGGGGTGCACAAAACTAAGCTCTCTGCACTTGTCATTCAGCAGGCATTCAAGCCTTGTTTTGCAAGAGCCCACCCTGATACCAGAGTCTGGCCAGACCCAACATGCATGTTTTCAGCATTCCTGTACTACAGATCAGTAGAAGCCATTAATTAGATTACAGAGATCAAGACCATTCCCGCACAGACAGGAAAAGCAACTTTAGCCCTTTTGGCTGGAAGAGTCAGATGATCCTTCCCTTGCTCAAGACATCTTCATCGTAGAATCACAGAAGGTTTGGGTCACAAGGGACCTTAAAGATCACCTAGTTCCAACCCTCCTGCCATGGGCAGGGATACCTCCCGCTAGACCATGTTGCTCAAAGCCCCATCCAATCTGGCCTTAAACACTTACAGGGATGGGGCTACCACAACTTCCCTGGGTAACCTGCACCAGCATCTCACCATCCTCACATGCCTTCCTCTGTGTGCATCATCCTCATGTCAGTTGGTTGCTTAAGCCCCTTGCATTTCAAGTCACATTTTACTTCCATTTATATCTATGCAGCATGCTAATCAATTCCTCTCCACTATCACTTCCTCAGATGTTTTGATTATCTCTTTGCTAAGAGATTAATCTGTGATCTTAGATGAAGAAGTTTTCCCTTTACAGACAACTGTTTGTCTCCAGTAACTATTTGCTCCAGCTTTCATTCACAGCCTGTAGAGGCTACAGCTAGGTTTGGGATGTTTCACTGAAAACACTACTGAGCCAAAGTGCACCTTTTACTTGTGTCTACTAATGGCTGCAAGAAACCTGGAGAAGACTACCAATTTGCTCCTCCTCTAGCCAGAAACTTGCACCTACAAACCTAGACTAAATTGTAGCTGTGTTGTGTATGTGTACATTATACACGACACACAGCTGGGAGAACTCTCCTGTTTAAAGCTCCTGGCTAATAACACACCTATACAAATAGCAAGTGTAGAAGAGACAAAAATAAAGCTATTGCACCAGGCTGATAGCAATTACAAACCAAACACATTAAAAAGCAAACCCAAGGAACTTTAAATACTTCCCCCAGGAACTAGCAATTGCTTTGACATTTGCACACCTAGCTGGAAGAAACGGAGTAAGAGGAAGTGGGCAACAGTTTCTAAAAAAAAAAAAAAATAGAAATACAATTATAGCAAGGTGTCTTGAAGGAATTCCATAATTAAAAAGAAGTATGCAAATATAGCTGAGTGACTAGCGTTCTTAAGAAACACCTACTGTGCAACAGGATTGAGAAAAACAAAAATGATCAGGTTTTCTTCCAAGGACAAGTTAAAGCAAACAAACTGCACATTTCAAGAATGTTTTTCTACTCACCATCAGTTCATTTCTGGGAAGAAAAAAATAACAAAGCATTTCTACTATTAAAAAAAACCCAAACCAAAACAAAAAAATAATCAACAAAACCAATATTAACTCAAAGAATAGGAGGAAGAAAACAGAAGAATATAGGAACCATACCCAAAAAGTGATCTGCTACTTCACTCCAACTGACATATTGTGGCCCAAAATTTTGAATGGAGTGTAGGGGAATACAGGATAAGCTTTACGGTGCTTATTTCTCTACCTGTTTATCATTGTCGTTCCTATTTTTGTGTACAGAGTTAGAACCAACTTGCCAGGACAACTCTAATTGCAGCTACAGAAATCCTCAAGCTTTGGTCAATACCAAAGTCAATACCAGTGGTAAGGGCTGGAGACAGCCCTGGATCAACCCAAAACACCCTGCCGAACCACCCCATTGGCTTGAACCTCCAACCACCTGCTCAAAGGTTATGTGAAAGGGTGAGCTTCACCACCCTATACCTTGGAGTTTGCTACAGAGGTATGGAAAAAGATTCACCTAAAAGTGGTAACATACTTCTGACCAGTTCTGGGCTTCCCAGTTCAAGAGGGACAGGGATCTACCCAAAAGAGGGTAGCTTTTGTCATGTAGTGAGGTATGTTACGAGGAATGCAAGGAGGAAAAAATATTCCAAGCGACCCAGAAACCCTGAGAACACTTTTAAATTACTCCTAGGGAAGCACCAGCCCACATGCTATTTGCACATCAGCACACTCAAAATTTTGGTGCAAATGTTTTGCAGTTTAGAAGCTGCAAACTTAAGTCATTCCTTCCACGGAACATTGATTTTTATACTTACGTAAAAAGTGTTTTTCCAGTAAGGCTATTTCCAGGTGACCTTTGATCTCATTCAGTCTGTCAGACTCCGTTCTGTTAAAATCCTGGACTCCTGAAGCCATGATGACGGTCCCTGGACCAGCCTATAAGAAAACCAGAACACATTGACAGCTAAGACATACATTTTTTTGTAATTTAAATATATCAACTTACTTACAGAGCAATAACAAAAAGCCACGTGAAAAACATGCAAGTATCAATAACTGTGCATGCCTTTTACCTGCATTAAATTAGCAAAATAAAGGAGTGAAAGATAAGAAACGCAAAGCATCTCTCCCATGTGAGTTTAGAGAATGCACTTCTGAAGACCTCAGGTACTTACAGAAAACAAAGGTATTTTTTTCCCTCTTACCAGTTCTGCTGCATCATTATTTAGCCTTTCTTCTAAAAGGCTTATTTATACTATCCCTCTCCTTTTCTCATTAAATTAATGGTCAATGCAACATATTTCACAAAGTAAATTATGAAGCTAGCAAAGTAAGGCTTTTCTAGATATTTACTAGCTGTTAGAAAACACATATTGTATACTTTAATATCCATTAGGGGTATGTGCAATTCTGAAGACCATGGTCTCTCTGAAAGGAAGGGGTCCCTTCTCCCCCACCTCCAGCACAGCCCAGTTACTGCTGAAGGATGTACTCAGTGCCCAGAAGCTCACCCTGGCAGGTCTGGAGAAGGAAGGAGTCTCAACAGATTTACCTGCACCCCTCAAATTAACTTGACACTAGAAATACTGCAGAACGCAGGAAATAAAGTGTAATTTGAATAGTTAGGAAAAGCAGAGACAACCACAACCTCCATGAAGTAAGCATGGAAGAACCCCAAGCTCACACAGCAGAAGGTAGGTGATGCAGTCTTTCTCTCATGAAGTGAGCATTTTCAGATGGGTAACGGGTAGGTGCAGGCACCCCCAGGCAATGGCTATTCAGGCACTGTGTGCAGTCCCCACCGGGTACAAAAAGTCTGTCAGTGAGAATTACAGAAGATTCTCCAAAAACTTATATTCAAAATGTAAGTGCTAGATTAAAAAAGGTCTGCATCTAAGAAATTGTCTCAAGACAAAAAGGGATTTATTTACCTACCCTAACCCACTCCCCCACTCCTTGTTTGAGGCCTGAAAACATACAGGAACTGCATTGTTTACAAAAGTCAGCTTGCATATATTTAACCACGACACCTTAAATTACATACATATTTAAACTCAACTAATCTACAAGAGAGTTAATTAAAACACATTTTCTACGTTGTAGGCAAGATGTGCAGAAAGCTCACTGACAGCAAAGTATTTTCACTGTAGATAATGATTTGCACTTTTAAGATAAAACAGTAGGGAGATACCTATTAAACATCTGTTTTCTTGCTTGAGCTGAACAGATGCAGAGTTCAAGCCTCACAATTTGGCTATACAGGCAAACAAGAATTCTGCAGGCACAGTGTTTACCTGGCACCAATTCCCCACCTGTGCTTGCTCAATGCAGTGCCAAGCAGAGATGCTATTTCCAGTTCCAAAAGTAACACTCACCTCCCTGCCAATGCTGCTGGCCCTGACGAGGAGCCTTTAGCTTAGCAGCAGCCCTGTGCTGCTTCCCACTTTGGAGCTAGAACACACCATCCTACTCCCCCTGCTCCACACTTCCTGTTCACAACTGCACCCTCACAACACACTCCACAGGCAGGCACAAGGTTATTTTTATTAAAGCGTCATGAAAATACAGATTGCTGCCCAGGGGTTAAGGGATGGCTTTCTGTATGGTACATCCATATCTGGTACAAAGGGGCAATCTCTGCTTCTAGTACAGAAGAGATCATACAGAGCTGTCCAAAGAAACAGTGCCACTGCTTAAAAATAAATAGATAAATAAATAAAACACATACAGGTCAAAGAGCAAGATGCTGCACTATTAGGAATGTACCCAGGCTCTGCAGATCAGCCCAGCACTCAGACAGCACCTGGATCCTGCTCAACCAGTCTCAGCACCCAAGCCCATGTGCTGCAGTAGGGACAGGAGCACACAGAGACTGGGGTGAGGGAGGAGGGGAAGAAGAAATGAAGTAGCAAATATCTAAGCATATTCAATTTTTCAGCCTCACTGAAGACTCTCAAGATATTTCACCGACTTACAAGCCACGTTTGGAAATCTATCTAGAGAACAAGCTCCACTTTTGCTTCTCCAGAGATGCTAAGTCATTAATTAAAACCCAGGATACCCTGACTATGCCTTTCAGAAAGAAGGAAAAATCAAGACTGGTGACAGTCATACATGTTAAAAAGTTTCCAAATGTTTGTATCTACTAAACCACTGAACCCAAGAAGTCCAACATTAGTCAATCAGTTAAAAATCAGGAGATACACATCATTAATATAACCACAAAAGGTTACAAAGATGTTCTAAGTTAGAGAAAAAAGGAAAAAACACAAATCCACTAAGTTAAACATAAGGTTGCTTCCTAAGAATACTAGGAGCAATATCATGTAATTATTGTGCAATAATGAAATGGTTTAGACAGAGTAGTGAGATACACAGCAACACGTTTGGTGGAAAATAAAACACTTGATTTCCAAGAGCACTGACATCATAACTTATTAATGAAAACAGTTTAGAAACGCTCAGAAAACTGGGCATGTCCAGGACATGGATACGGGAAACATTTAAATAGGTGTTCTTTTGTCCCAGAAGTTTTTTCCCCACACCAACACACCTCGTTCTGTCAAAAGGTGTTAGCTGGCTAAAAAGATAAAAACTAAGGCGTACAGACTTGCTGGGCTGAGCTGCCTGCCTCTGAATTCAAAAAGTACCTCTGTCCAACGCCTGCATAACTGACCCAACTCACACATTAACCAGAAATGACCTTGTATTAATTCCAGTGTTAAGTGGCTAAAGGTTTCTCCTTTCTGCTGCCTGTGTAGGCTACTGCTGGGTCTTGGGCTGGATTAACTACACTGTACTGCACAGAAGCCCTTTCTTGCTTCTGACTCATAGTAAAAGCCTTGAAGTCTTCCAAAGATTTCTGCTTTTCCTCCTGCCTTTCTAGATTGGATGGTATTTGACACAGGAGCTCATGAAATGCTGGCAATCACTATTACTTAGCAAAGACTGAGCACAAGGCTACATGGTGCCTAGGACGCCAGAAAAAATGCCAGAGTTGAGTGTGGAGTCAGAGACAGAGGGGTTAAAAAGGAAGATTTCTGATGATGACAGATTGCCTCTAATGCACTCTCAGAGTTCAGAGCTGCTGCTCCAAGTCACATCCAGCTCTAGATCTGAAAATACTCATCTCCCCACAAATGTGTTTTTTTCAAGCCATCTGCAGTTCAGGCTTTCCATAACAGCACCTCCCAACCTAAGAGTTCTTTGCCTTCCCTCCCTAAACCCTCTTCACCCTGTGAGCCCTGGGAGTTTGTTGTGTGCACTGAGTACCAACACCATTGTCACTGTACAGCCACAGAAAAGGTCTCTGCCACTTCTTAATGAAGTAGATGCAGACCTGCCCTCTCCACCTACAGCTCATCTTCAGCATCACACAGAAACATAATTGGGCAACTTCTATTCTACTTGCACAAGATCATATGAAGATTATTTTTCTCTACAAATATCTAACAAAGCACTGGTCTAATTTCCTAGTTTGTAATTACCTTAGAGAGAAGCAGTTCTCAAACACAGAGCATGTGGAGAGGTGAGGACATGGAAAGCCAAGTCAGGAGCATAATCAACCACCCAAGTCACTCTTCAGGGCCCAGCGGTGACAATGACACAACAGAAGGAATCATAGAATCATAGAATCATCCTGGTTGGAAGGGACCTTGAAGATCATCAAGTCCAACCATAACCTAAATCCCCCTACCATAACCCGATTTACTCCTCCAGTGCTTACATCATATCGCTAAGCACTATTATATTTCTTTTAAATACTTTCAGGGATGGTGATTCCACCACCTCCCTGGGCAGCCTCCTCCACTGTCCAATCACTCTTTTGGTAAAGAAATTCAAAGAAGACATAGTTTAGCAAACAAAATTTTAACTTGCATTCATTTGAGCAGCAAAGGGGGAAAAAAAGTTTTCGGTAATATAACAAACTATGGAGCTTGACTAAAGAGGTCGTAGCCTCTCAAGTTTCTGAGCTGACACTTCATCTGCATTTTCTTACTTCAAATTATGAAAGGGTTCCCCGTGGCTGCTGCATTTACCTGCTGTAAGGAAAGGGAAAACCCAGTAACACTGCTTAAGAACAAAAGTATCCACAGGAATAAGTTAATCCTTAGTATTCTTGGAAGCATACCCATAGTGGCAGGCTCCTAAAACACAGCTCTATTTTACATAATTCTTAAAAAATGTAGTGCTTCCCAGGTTTAGAGACTAATATCTTAATGGTAATGTTTGAATCTTTCTTCATACCTTCCAATCACCGTAAATGAGATCAATAAAAAAGTGTTTAATTTTTTAATTGACATGTTTCAGGAAAAGCCAAGCTGTACAAGAACAGCAATTGAACTCATGTTTTCCATACCACAATAACTCAGATTTAATCCTAGCACACTGGCAGGGAACTTGCATAACTAGATTAGACTGCTTTCAGTAAAACTGTGCCAGGTACAAGAGCACTTTGACTTGCAATTCTCACTGCCAGGTTAGTGCAGAACCTCCACAGGTTTATACACAAATTTTTCTTTCCCCTCTCTGCCAAATGGAACACAATTCTCCTCTGCACTGAGTTCACTTATATATACCTCTATGTGCTACTTACCATTTATCACGTTAAAAGTACATAAATTTATTTATAGCACAAAATTACAAAACATAGGTTAAAATAAGGCAACTCAAGCTAGAACTGGCAAATACAAAGGTGGGCTATGATCTTCAGGGCACAATTCTCCTCCCTGAACATTTGCATCACAGCAAATCAAGTTGATGGAGCAATTTTTTAAAACTTTTTTCTAGGTGCAAAATCTTGATCTAGCAGGAAGGAACCCATGTTGCATCTACACAACAGGAAACCATGATGGCACTTCAACTACCAAGCAAGCAACATTACATGAATTTCCAATGTCACAACAAGACAAATACTAAAATGTTTACTACTACGATGCAGGAATGGACCAGGTTACCCTCTGTTTCATGATTGTGGCATTTTTACAAAACAACGCCAAAAGAAGAGTGTTCCACACAGTGCGGAATGTCCTTGCTTTAAAAAACAAAACACAACAAAAACAACAGCCAACCACCTATGCTAAAGAGAGAAGGGAGGAAGCCATTCAGGAACTGAAATAGGTGCTTAGCAAAGAGTTAATTTGTTAACCAACATGGTTGGTTTGGCAATGATCTGATCACAGTGTCAAACCACTCACAGGGACTAAGAAAGTCCCTGCTAGGCAAGACACAGCTGGCAGTCAGGACACTTACATGAGAAGGGCTAAAGTACCCACACAAGCAGACAGCCACTCTAAACTGAGACCAAACTAGTTCAAATTAGGAATAAGACACATCTTGAAGTTAAAGTCTCAGAAACCACTGTGGAGAATTCAAAGGAAAATAACAAATCCTTCCAAGCCTCCTAAGGCCCTTCTACCAGGAGCCAGCTATGTGCTTTACCCAAGCATAAGTTAGGATGTTTATTATTGAACTAAAAATGTAAATCTCACAGTTTTAAGATCCTTTTATTTTATGGATGGGAAGCAGTGTTTGCTGAGCAGATGTCTGTGAGGGACAAGTGCTAATCCCCTAAACTTCCCCCTATGAAATGTATCCCTTACACATCAGATCTCTTCCCTCACATGAGTTTGCATATTTGGTTGGTATCTGTAACACAGCTGTTGCTCCTAGGTTGTTTCAGCATTAGACTGGGTTTGGAGCTCCCCAACATCAGTAGCAGGGTAAAACAAAAAGTCTAATGCTGTTGCTGCTTTCCTCTCTCTCACTTCCTATTTTTAAAGAAATACATCCCAAGGACTTAGAACTTGACAGCCTATTTAACAGAATTTTATCAGCCAGAAAGCAAAGTGTTACCCTTCAAATTACCTTCTCAGCACACAGAGCTCAACGATTTCAGAAAGCAGAAGCCATGACCACAAAAATGTAGCTAAAAGGCTTTATAAAGAGTGAAAACTGTACGTTCACCTTGCTACTCCCTCAGCCAAACCATCCTGGAGCTACTCTCCTCCTTAAAAAAATACAGAAAGTAGTATCTAGAGTTTAAGACAGACGTTTTTGTAGCCTTTAGCTCTGCCATCGAGATCCTTCTGACTAGATGCAAAGGATATTCCCCGCTCTCTACACAAATATGCCTTAAGTTTAATGAAAATAAGTCAGTATTTACCTACAAAAAACTCAAAAAATACCATGTTGGAAGGGAAGCAGCAGAGATTAGTCCCAGTATACACAATACATATGTCTTTAAATGACAGATGTCCTTAGTAAAATAAAAGCAAAGAAAGCCATTCAAGAGACTTCTCTTGTCTGAGGAGCTTGAAGATTTGCATACAACAGACTTTTTGTGACTGAAAAATGCTCATTTTTACCACTTGTTTGTTCCATGATCAGTAGAAAAAAAATCTGTCAAAAGAGCTCCATATAAGCTGGATTGTATGTGACACCATACAAGCCCACTTAAATTTAAAAAACAGAACAGGATACAAGCTACCAGCCCTAAAGGAGATGCTTAAAAGTATACATTTTCAAGTTTTTTAGTTTAACATTTGCAGTGAGCAAGCCCTGTGCTTCTCGAAATGAGCCTTCAGACAACAGCCTGACCACATTCTGGGGATTAAAACTGCATGGTGAGTTTCCAAATAGGGTGGTATAAACTCTTGACTTCCAAGCCACACTCTAGAATACAGTTAAATGGACAAATCATAATTCAGATTGTAGCACTTCAAGCTCAAGCGTCCGTACCCATTTTTTAGCAGTTAAAGTAGGATTAGAAGGCTTTTTTTACCTAATATTCAACTTTCTCTGAAACAGAGTCATTTAAAAAAGGTACATCTATTTATGTGCTTCTGCTTACAATCACCAAAATGTTTCAGCACCTGAAGAGTCTTGTTCACCTCCTGCATAGATTTAAATGAGCTCTATAGCATGGAAGCATTATTAGGAACAACACTGCAGTGAAGAACAAGGTAGTGTGACCTTCTAACTCTAATGAAACCAACAGAAGTATTATTCCTGCAGATCTGGCCAGTGCCATTTGAGCAGATCTCAGCTCCTCAGACTGAAGTCTCTCCTTCAGATCTGTTTGCTAGTAATTCAACAAAACAAACAAAAACTAGACAGCATTCAGAAGCACATCCAAGGTTAACAAACTTGTCAACTCAAAGCATCTAAAATCAACAGGAGGGGACAAGGAATCCTAATACTGAGAAATTGCATGATCTTCCCACAGAATGGAAGCCTATTACTGGAAGTTTACTTCCTATTCCATGAATCTTGCAATGTTAAATCCAAAACAGAGGGAGAAAAAAACATTAATTTCTGTTATTATTCTGCCTTACATCTATATAATTTAAATATACTTAAATTGGGTACTTACAGGGTCTCTTAGCTCTTCATTGTCTCGAGTTGACGTTCGAGGTATTTTCACCGGGATTTCATCTCCACATTCAGTATCTGAAGCATTTGGAGACTCTGCTAAATCAAGGAACTCATCTCTCTTGTGACCTCTGAACCTTATTTTGTCCAACTTCTTTAGCATGTTCAGCACTGCACTTTTCTGCTTTACCTTAACATGACGGTTGGGGTCTCTGCAAGAAACAAGACATCATACTTCAGAAAGCTTGTGATAAATACACACATTCTAATCACTAACAAGTTCTAACTATCTTTCAAGGGCCTTCCTGCCAATGGAGGAAAAACTTGCTGCAGCTTAGATCCTCAACAGGCATTTTTTTCCACAGTATAACAGATGCACAGTTTTCAGTAATTGATGATTTACCATATTCCCACACTATTATGGCCTCTTTCTCACAGCTATTTTTAAAGCAAGTCAGAATGGGCACACGCTAACAACCTGCACTCCAGAAAAAGGCTTAGGAAGTCAGTTCCTAACATGTTATTTGAAACTGAAAAAAGGTTAGCTGACAAGTCCATATTATTAAACTTGCTGATGCTTCTAATTAAAGACATGAAAACCCAATAAGCTTCACAACCAAAATTTCAACTCCCAGGAAAAAACCAAAACAAAACACACAAGACTAGAAAACAAGAGGTGGGGGGAGTAAAGGAATAGGGAGGCTACTGTATGTCCCCTGGGGGGAGTAAAGGAATAGGGAGGCTACTGTATGTCCCCTTATGTCCCCTACTGTTTCAGGCTACAAAAAGATAAAGTACCAAGGGTTTATTGAAGAAAGACATCAGACAGATCCATGCAGAAGGTGCCACCAAAAACTAGAGACTGTTGAAACTGACCACAAAAGACATTCAAACACACTGTCAAAATCCCTAATGTTACCACTACTGACAGTCTCGTATATCCTTTGCTAGATTTCTGTCATTCACTTGTTGAGGCAAAGGAGAATAACTCCTTTGTGATGCTTTTGCTTTTTTTTTAGAACTAGCATGACTTTACTGTAAGAAAAACAGCACAGCCAGTTCTTCCACAGAACATGCAGGTGCCATGGCACCCAGAAGAACACGAAATGCTCTGGACATTTCACTTCCAGAGATACGATTTGACATGAGCAATATGTAAATTAGAAATCATACATCACACTGGGAGAAGCATTTTGCTTTTCAAAACACAATAGGAGAAAGCTGAATTAATGTTTGTAACCTCATTGTAATGGTAGCTTTCCAAGAAACTGCATTGTACAATTTCTGATTTAAACCAGACCTGCCAAGATGGCCCCATTCAATGCTCTATATGTACCACCCTCTGTACCAAAGGTCCCAAGCGCAAACTTTTTTTTTTTTTTTTAAGGTCATTGATCCTGCCCCTCCAGCAAGATACTGCTCTGGCAGTTTATAACAAACCAGCCACAATTTTCACTCCTACAAACTCTGTTTCTCAGCTTAGAGCGTTCCATTTGGAGGGTGCCACAACGCTCTCCCAAATGGACTTTCACAGTGGAAAAAAAACTATTTTTAAGCATTTGTTCCTATTACTATCCCCTTTTCTCCCCTATGGTCGACACTGCCCTCCACTAAAACACACATTTAGCTTCATAGCAAATCAACCCAGACACTCATGTGAGATAAAAAAGCAAAAGCAGTTCTAGACATGCATCACTTCAGGAGCATTTGTTTATAAAGAGTAAGAAAGAAGAGACTTTTGCTACTGCCTTCCACAGCCTTTGCACTGGAGGCAATTCTCACCTCCTAACACAAAC